CTTCATAAATCTAAAAATATGTTAAGAATATTAAGTTTATCACTTGGATCTACATGAAAACCTTGAGAAAAGTATGTGTTATCACATATAATACATGTAAACTAGTAGATCTGGGATTTATACACTTAAAATAGTAAAAATGAGTGTTGTGTTCCAAGATCTATAAACTAAACTCAAAAATCAGCCTTTCACAGGAAAGTTTTGGTCCAATCTCGAACTGTTTTGACCACCTAAATGATAATATTTTTAAAAACATGTTTTACATGCAAAAAGTTCAGGTTTCTACCTTTAAAATGACTACTCTCACGTTTTCATACGATTTTTCTACAATTTTTGGCGAATTTTACAAAACTGTCTATTAGATTTGAAATAATTTCGGACCAGCCTGTGAAGGTGAGCAATTTCACACTTGTTAGAAGCCATTAAAAATTATGAGAAAAATTGTGAACAAAGTAGACAAAATTTCCAAACTTCCAGAATTTACGGATCCAAATTTCGACTTACGATGATTTTTCTACAAATTTTCCAACAACTAGGTCGGAAAAGCCCAAAACCAGAAAAATGTGTATTTTCACAAAAATCAAGCCAAAAATGATATTTTTGACAAAAATGGGTTTAAAATGTTATTTTTACCACAAACTAGTCATCAACACAAGTTTTGAACAAAATGGAGACTAAAGTGTTATTCTTACAAAAATTGGGACTTAATTGTAAATTTTTGGCTTATTGGGCCAAGAACGTCATTTTTACAAAAAGTGGGCTTTTATGCTATTTTAGTGAATACTTGAACCAAAACCAACGATAAACTAACAAACAGATTAATTTGATCATTTTCTAGGTTATTGGGCCTTAGTGACCCATTTTTTATGTGTGATAGGTCATGTATACTATTTATATGTTTATTGGGCCTCATTGACCCATTAACATGTGCGACGGACCTTGGATACTATTTGTGTGCTATTTGGGCCTGTAAATACCTTACATGTGAAATGGGCCTTAGTTGTTCTTTCATATATATTTCGGGCCCATGCTATATAATCTCATTCCAATTGGACCTTGAAATGATTTACATGTTTAGCGATGCCTTAGTGGTTCGCTTACATGGTTCATTGGGTCTGGAATGAGTTTATACCTTTCTTCGCGTAAATTCGATTAAGGATCTAGTGAGTTTTGTCGGTTGGCACCTATTAAGTGTACGATCATAGCCTGTAGTTATAACCAGAGTCTCTTGGAGGGAGAGCGGGGATTTGTGTATAGATCTATACGGGGATGACACCCCACACCTGAGCTGTTCGCTACAGTTAGACTAACTCAGTCTAGGGTGACGAAAACCTTATAATCAAAACCGGCGTCCAACAACGCCAAGACAGGCGAAATTGTCATTATTTAGTATGGTTATGACGGCTCACTTAGAGGAATTAACGTTATGAAGTTTACGGAAGACCATTCTCTTTTCTTTTGGATTACTCGGAAACATACTCGTACTGGTACTCAACCTCGGGGGTTGGTATGACAGCTTTCTCTTTTACAGACAACATCGGGTTGTCTGGGAACATTCTCTTTACATGCTCTTTACATTCTTTCTACATTCTCTTTACCCTTTTAGTCAAATAAACAATAACATACATGCATTAATACAAGATCTGACACAAACATACTAAACAGTTTTCAGAAAATATAGGATTTTCTGGTGGTTTCAAAGTTATACAAATCATTTTCACAAACATGCTTATGAACTCACCAACATTTTTATGTTGACCTTTTTAAATTAACTTGTATTCTCAGGAAACCGTTGAAGCAGGATGAACGAAACAAACTAATGGATATTTTGTTATATTTTGTTTCATCATACTCTGACTATTTTGGCATGTAATATTCAAATACAATACTCGATGTAAACAATGAATGTTGTTATATTACATGTGTGATGATGATGATGTTATGTTTCAATTATATACTCTGTAATGATACTACAATGTTGAAAGTCACACCAAGCCCCCAGACGTTTCCGCCGTCTGGTTCGGGGGTGTGACATAGCACTCACCGTTAAACTTTTTATGGAAGTTACCCAAGGATGTGCCTAGCACACAACCTGTGCTCCATTTCTGGACATCTTTCCTTCACAACTTCCATTAAATTGACTTTGAATGTTAGTATGTGTAAAAGGTAATTTATAGCAATGATGTTAAATAAAATATGTACCTTGTGTCCATCTGACATCAATGTGATTCCATTACTACCCCCCCCCACCACCACCACCACCATCTATGTCTTCCATTATATGATTGTCCAAGAACCACTTCCATGTATTCTTGTTTTCAACATTCACTACTCCGTAGGCTATATGGTATATGTTATTGTTGGCATCCATGCATACTATTGAGAGGAGCTCCCCTTTACATATGCCCTTCAGAAAGCATCAATCTACCTTAACAACCTTCCTACAACCATCTAACCAGCCATCAACCACTCTTTTAAAACTCCCGTAAAACCTTTCAAACACCATAGTTGCATCATTTTTGGGGCTACACATACACTTCAACATGAGATCCTGGATTAGCCCTTTTAATTTCAGCTCCATAACCCCATAACTTGTAATAATGATCCTTCAAATTACCCTCAATTTCACATAATGCAAATCTTTTTTTTTGCATTCCTACATTGTCAAATACTAACATTTATGTTGAATAACTTGGATACCATGGCTTTCATCCTTTTCAAACTCATTTTAGGAGACTTTAATATATCATTGACAAAGTGTTTCCCTATCCACTTGTAGGTAACAATTGACCCAAGTTTGAATCCCCTTGAGTGACTATGGTCTTTTCTAAGGGACTTTATTTGAAATGTTTGCTCGTCTTTCATCCAGGAAGCCCACAATCTAAAAGGGTATTGTGGTGTTTATCCTTTACAACACTTTACAAGCATCCTATCTTTGTCATTTTTCTCATAGTACAAGTCAGTAGGAAAGGAGAATCCCACACCTAGTTTAGGTTGCATCTTCTTCCATTCCTGAGTAACATCATGCTTAGAACCATAACTAATTTTGATATATTATAGAAACCGGGAACTGAACCGCCAGTGCCGATGTCGGTTCCGGTTCCAGTCCTGGTTTTTCAGTTATTTTTCAAACTATAACCGATTGATATATTATGAATGCTATGTTGTTTTCCACAGCCTGAAGATTATCCAATATTTAACAAAAATATGACTTTTTTACATTCTAAAATGTTATACAAACACTAAATTACATGTTGGAAAAAAAATCAAATAATTCTGACTTCATATGAGTGAGTTATGCGTATTTTAAAAAGCGGGACAGATTCTAAAAAGAAAAAATGTTGAAACGGAAAAAATTACAACATTGAGATGCTGTCTTCCGGGGCCTATAGTTGATTCAATATGTAATTAAAATATAGAGTAGATTACATGAATCGTCCCTTGTGTAGGTGCCAAAATACACGTTCAATCCCTATTTTCAAAAACTAACTCGGACTGTCCCTTCTTTGGTTAAAAGTTGCACGTTTCATCCCTCCGGACATAAAAAGACAATTTTGCCCTTATTTATTTCTTTTTCAGTTTCTTTTCTATTTATTTATTATTTTTTGATTTGTTTATTATATAAAATAATTATTTATTATCTTTAATAAAAGAAATATCCTGTAAACCCTAACTCCTTAAGCACTTCGTCTCCTTCTCCCCATTTCTTCGAACTCCACCCAGAACAAAATCGGTGATCCCCTTATGCTTCTTCGACAATACTATCTCCACCATCACAGGTCTGCAGAAGTGCAACAATTTCAGCTTTTAACTTCAAGAAAGTTTTCAACTTCAACTTCATGAACTTCAAAAACAGTTTCAGATTTGCAAATCTCAACAAGTTCTTGAAGGATTCGAGAGAATAATGAAAGATATGAGATGTGTTCTCCATATCTTTCTGGTGATTGATTCTCCCATTACAAAAGAAGATTGAGAGGAGGTGACTTGGTTCCAATGCATCACCGCTACTCAACGCAGGTTTTGATTCATCACCACCATCGGATTTGCAGATTCCAAACTCGTCTCACCATCTCTGATTACTGGTCGTGATATGCTCAATCTGAAAGCACTAAAGTGAAATCCATCATGAAACCCCCAAAATGCTAGATCTGAAACCACACATCTCCTGCTGATATACTTTCGTAATTACATCTCCCCTATTTCTCAAAACCCTAGCGCACAGGTGGTGATGGTGACCTCTCATTTGCTCTATCTCTCTTTATCCCTCTCTCTGTATCGTACCAGCAGACACACACAAGTTGTGTGTGTCTGTGTGTTTTGTGTTTCTCTGCTCTGTTTGGGAAGAAGATTGAGGAAACAGATGGTAATGAATGCTCAAGGGTTTCAGGAGAAAATCAGGTGAGAGGGAGAGAAACCGACAGTAGTGATGTTTTTTCCGATGGTATTCCACATCTCCGACGGAGGTGGTACTTTTCGGACGTGAACAAATGAAAGGAAATGTGGTGGTGGTCAGTGGCGGTAGTCAAGAGGATTTCCGGTGGTGGTCCATTTTTCTGGTGGTAGTGTTTAAGCTTTCTTTAGCAAAACAAAAAAGAAATATATATTAAATTTAATTTTAAAAATTTTAATAATTAAAAATAATCAGAAATATAAAAAATAAATTAAAAATAAATTAAAAAGGGTATTATAGTCATTTTATGTCTCGCAAGGGATGAAACGTGTAAATTTAAACTAACGAGGGATGAAACATGAAACTTTTAATCAAACGAGGGACGGTCCGAGTTAATTTTTGAAAATAGGGACTGAACGTGCATTTTGGCACCTGTACAAGGGACGATTCGTGTAATTTACTCTAAAATATATGTTTGTATAGTCTAAAATGAAGTACAAACACCAAACGGTGTTTCCAGTCTTGTTTCGGTTCATGCGGTTCTAAAGCTCATCCCTAGCTAGAAGTCCATTGCAATCTTCATCTTCATCAACTATTGGACATAACTTGCTCAAAAAGTGATCATTATAGGTTCTTTTGCTTGATATAACAGAGTCATCCTCTTCATGTTCACACTTCTCACTATCTTCCATAGTGGAGTCAACATCTCCAGTGTCTGGCTCTTCTCAATCCAATCAAATAGAGGTTCCTTATCATGGTCAATATACACATTTACATGTCTGTGAGCATTTGCAACCTTAAGAAACTCAGAGTAGTCATAATCATTTTGTAGTGTATGAAGCCCCTCACTTAATCTTACTTCAGGTAGACATAAATACACATACTTGCACTGAAAATCGATAAGATTCACAACATATTTGATGAAATCAGAGAAATTCATATCGTTTGCATCATCCTTCACTTATACTATGTCTGGAGCAAAATACCTTAATGGATTAGGCATAAAAATACCATTGCAGTGTACATCGACCGATGGAAAAGCTTGATTTTCATCCATGGAATCAGAGTGGTGTTTTGAGAGAATGAAAGGGTGAGTAATAATAGGACTGTTCATTATTTGGATAAAACCGAATTGTCTAATTGGACAAATTGGATTGGACTATTTGGTTCGGATATTCGGATTTTTGGATTGGTTTTCAACAAAACCGATTTACTATTTTTTATTTCGGATTGGTTTTGGTTTATAAAATAGGAACCGAATAATCCAATAAAACCGAATAACAATTTATTATTTATTTATTTTTAATATAGCTATAAGTCTATAACTATTTATTAATTTTATAATTTATTTTTTCAAATAAGTTCAAAAAGTTTCATCTAATAAAAAACATTAATATGCATTTTATCTTAAAAGTTCTTTATCTATTGAATATTAAACTATAATATACATTCTTAGTAGTTTATAAATTTTAAATCACAACTAAATATTTTTTTTGCTTCTTCTATAAAAATTGGATAATATTATAATTATATGTCATTTTAAAATGTTTTAGTTTTTGAAAACCGAATTATAAAAACCGATCCAACCGAATTGTAATTGGATCGGATCGGATCAGATTTGAATTTAGTTTGGATTATTTGGATCCATATTTTGAAAACCGAAATCAATTTGGATTTACTTAATTGAATCGGATCAAACCGATCAATTCAAACGAACACCCCTAAGTAATAAGGTGGTGATCGAGAACGGATGGTGGGGGTGAGTAATTGAACCCTAATTGTTCTTCTTAAACGAGGGGTGAAAGAAGGTAATTCCACGTAATAATCACGTAAGTAATTTGATTTTTCTTAAAATCTCGTAAAACACTTGATGGTCAGCTTAACCGACATTAACCAGTAATAAGGATTAAATTTGCACACGAAAGAAAGTTCAAGGGGTAAATATGAACAAAAAAAAAAACCAGGAACTAAATGTGTACAAATCAAAAAATATGTTACCCTTATAAATCATTATCCCTTCTTTGGACTATAAAATCAGTAATAAAACTAATTCTTAAAAATTTGAACTTAATATTAGTTAAATACTAGGAAAAAATTAAAGTATACCTTACATAAAAAGGTATTTTGCAAATGTTCTATCGATGAGGATTCGACCATACTTTAGTTATACTAACTTTTAGACATTTTGTAGTGTTTGATTATATTTTAATTTTTCTCAAATGCCATATTTATGTGAGCATGCAATTTTTCATGTGTAAAATATATGATTTACTGATATAATGTTGTGGTCTCACACCGTGTCCTGAGCCAATATAATCGTCTACATTTAGCCACTCAATTTATTTTTTGTCAACTTTTAGGTAATGAACTTTAAAAAATCATCTTATTTTTAGTAATATAAGTGGGTTAAGGGCTATAAAAGTACTAAAATAAGACGATTTTGGAAAGTTAATTACTTAAAAGTGGACAAAAATAAGTTGAATGAATAAAAGTAGATGATTTTGAAAAGTTTATTACTTAAAAGTGAAAAATAAGTTTGTGACTAAAAGTAAACAAATGAAATATTTTGTTGGTCATTTTTAACATTTTCCCTTAAGATATATGACTTATTGATATAAAGTTATGGTCTTAAGATATATGACTTATTGATATAAAGTTATGGTCAATACGCCACATCGGATGCCAATGGTCAAAGGGCATGCTTAAGTGTTGACAGCGAAAGGTCGATTATAGAAGTTCAATCGCCATACGTTGAGATCCCATTAGAAGGATGATACATAAGTAGTGATGCTTAAGGTTGTAATTATAACCTATAATGGAGACTATAGCAAAATGCTAAGTTTTATAAAATCCATTGCACACAAAATTTTAAATTTTATGCATATTGGATATAAAATTAATATGGGTTATGCGAACTTGGTGCATAACGTTGAGATTATGTTTCACCCGTTGTATAATGCATTATGTTTTTTATAAATTATGTGGGGTAATGGGGGTTTGATTATAGTAAAGTGCTCTCTCGTAATTTTAAGAGTAAATTACATGAATGGTCCTTATGGTTTGAGGTAATTTTCACGTTTGGTCCCTAATTTGAATTTTTAACTCGAAAGGTCCCTACAGTTTGTTTTTGTTGCGCGTTTGGTCCCTGTCTTACTTAAAAATACTATTTTGCCCTTGTTTTTTTAATTTATTGAAATAAACACACCCCAACCTCACTTCCACCTCACCTTACATTACCTTACCTACCCCACCTTATTTAAAAAAAATTAAAAAATCAAGGACAAAATAGTCTTTTTAAGTAAGACAGGGACCAAGCACGTAACAAAAACAAACTGTAGGGACCTTCCGAGTTAAAAATTCAAATTAGGGACCAAACGTGTAAATTAACCCAAACCATAGGGACCATTCATGTAATTTACTCTAGTTTTAATGTGGAAGATTTCCACTTTTTTCTATTTAGTCGATATGAATCCTTTTGGGCAACTTAGGACATCTCCAACCACACCATGATTTACACTAAATTCATTCTACACTAAAATCTATACTAACATGCTTCAACCCCACACTAAACTTACACCATATATAGTATTGGCGAACACTACAACACTAAATATAATGTTTATACTATTCATCAACACTATCTTTTACACTATACTAAATATAATGTTGTATTGGCGAACAGTACAACACTAAATATAATGTTTATACTATTAATGTCAAGTATAATGTAATGGGTTGAAAAGAATTTAATGGTTGCATTATCTTTTATATTATAATTATAAATTTAATGTAAAAAAATAATGTTAAGATTCAAGAGAGCCATATATTTCCAACCCTACATTAAAAGTTACAGTATTCATCAACACTAAATATAATTTTAAAGTTTCATTAGGACAATTACTCTCTCAACTTTGAACTTACATATTTTTAGTTTATTTCTTATATAATTATAAGTTTATGGAAAAACCATCTCAATGCATACATATATAGTATTTATTTAAATAAAATGCATGTAGGATATTTATTTTAATTTAGTGTTAAATTTAATTTAATAAAAATGACTATTTCAGTAATACAATAAACAAATAAATACAAATAATTAAATTTGGTTATAGATTTCTAATAATATAATTTATATAGTTATATTAATAAAAGGTATAGATCAAATTTTTAAAAGCTTAATAATTACAGGGTTGTTTTGTAAAATTATAAAAACTAGATAAATATATATTTAGAATATTCTTTAATGGATCAAAGATGTTTAGTATTAACAATATCTTTTACACTATAATTATAGGTTTTAATATAAAAGATAGTATTAATTAATATAAACGATAGTATTTAGGTTGGAGATGGTTTTAGTATTTAGTAGTCCAATGTAACTCATACCGGTGTTTAAGGCATCCTCTAATGTTTCATGTCACATTGTTTTTATGATATTTCTTTTGAACAACTAAAACACATATCCTACTCTACTTCCATATTAAATCATTGATCCCAATGATTGGACTCGAATCCTAACCATCCATAACTATGGTTGAGGGCAATTTTCTACCAACACCCGGATAACAGTAGGCTGCAAGCCATTTGGTCTTTGTTTTTTAAGATGTGTCCCACTCCCATGATTCGTTGTTGTGCGGGAATCAAAACCAGAAAAAATATTTATTTGTTAGTACTTACTAATAAAAGATGTTTTGGTTACCAAAGAAATTTGCAAATAGGATAAAACATTTATAACTATAGATATAGATGAAGAATAAAATTTTCATATGGAATAGATAAACACAACTAAAATCAATAATAAAAGAAACAAAAAGGATTCCGTCTTTGGGCCAGTAAATTTACAAGGTACGACGTTTTCCATAGCTTCTTATTGCATCAACTGATGAATTTCATGTACAAGGAAATATATATATATATATATATATATATATATATATATATATATATATATATATCTTACTATATTATTATACAAACCTTACTATTTCTAAAAATAGATTAAGACGTTCAAATCATTAAGCTAATAATACAACCATGTGATGCGATACATGCTAATTTGATTTTGAATACCTTATCATGACCAGCTTTATCCTAATTTTTCTTAAAACATCGGAGAATGATTCAAATCAGGAGACTCATTCAAATCACTACCTCCTTTTTCGTCAATGAAATCCACCACTGCACCATCCGTCTAAAGAATACTCTCTCTCTCTCTCTCTCTCTCTCTCTCTCTCTCTCGAACATACTTTATCCCACCGCTCATTCCTCCGACTTCTGGAACCTTCTTTACCGCCTCATTACTATTGCTTTCAATTTCATCTCTCAAACCTATCTATCTTCAACCCCTTATTGGACCGGCCAACTCAGATCAATCACCGCTTCCACCTACCGTCTTGGTAAGAGCCGCCGTCGAACTCTTCTGCCATCGCCATAGCTCACCACTATGTGTCCACAAAAACCCTTATGCACACCTCCGCGCCAAGCCGCCAACCATTTTCGGAACCATCAACGACAACACTATCCATCAAACCCTAAATCGTCCCTCTTACTCCCTTCGACAACTGTGCGGAATGAAACAACCACTCACCGACGACTCCTTCTCCGCTGATGTTCTTCGATTTTGGTTAATTTTCTTTCTCTGTCTTTGATTCCGCCATCGTCAGTTCTCTGTTTGTTGTTTGCTATGACCACCGGCTGCTTCAATTGGTTTTCTCAGATAAACCCTAACCTTATAAAATTGGTTTTCTCTGGTAAACGCTAACCTTATAACTTCTTTACAAAATTGGTTTTCTCTGGTAAACGCTAACCTTATAACTTCTTTACAGAACGTTTTGTTATTTTTAAAATACGTTTTCTTTTGGTTTAAATTGGTTTTCTAAACGTGTTGCCTCCATCAGCCTAGGAAACACGGAGAAAAGAGGGATAGAAAGAGGAAGAGAAAGATGAAATTCGACTTCAGGTAACTATATTTACTTCATTAATGGCTTTTCGTTCATCTGTTTTATTTTTTTTAAACATTATGGCTACAGCTCAACGCTGCAGGGTCTTTTTCTTATATAGGGTCATGTAGTAAAGTTGTTTGATCCATGTTTTCTTAGAATTACATTGACATCTTTATTGCATGCTATATTTCAAATTTCAAGTGAGATTATAACTTAAATTGATGTTAATATTCATCTGCTTTCTGTGAATCTCACCTATCTTACTCACTCAGACCCTCACGATTGTTGCAATCAACAAACTGAAAAGGTATTTTTCATATTTGCTATAATTAATTTTCCTTTTAGAAATGTTTAATCTCACTCAACCTTTACTTTGTAATAGCTTAAAGTAGTTTGTTTTTAAAATTTGTTCAACAAGCTTTCAAAAGTCAGTTGTGGTGAAAGTATTATTGGAAGGTAAATGCAGACTAAAAGCGGCGGTGGTTTGTTGTGTTCTAAGGTAGACTTTTTAAGGTATATTTTGGTAGAAATCTCAAATTACAATGTTGCAATACACAATAGTAATATATGATTGTGGCGGTAGTCCTGATTGTGTGTGTTTAACTCAAATTTAATGTTTCTGTCTTTTTCATCACCAACATATCTTCCGGTCGTGACTTTCCAATATACACAACTGATGATTGATTGTTTGCCTATTTTTTTATTCCAAATACTAACTGGAGCTATCCATCTTATCATCAGGTTGGAGTGGCTACTTTTGACTTGAGTCTAACTTTATTTCTCCTTTCTGAATACATTGAAACGAGCAATTTATATCATAACACAGAGACAATCTTGTACTTCTACAATCTAATGGCAATTAGTGTCCTTCCTTACAAGCTAGCACCTGATGTCATGGTTGGGGTATCAATACATTAATTTGTTGCTATTTTTCAGGTTTCTTTGAAAATTCAAAGGGTAAAAACCTTTTTACGTGCATTAACTTTTTTATTTTATTTTATATATATTTAAAAAAAATTGAATTTTTCAAAGTTGTTTTAATTTATAGACCCGCGTTGTATATTTTTTTATAACCGAAGAAGAAAGCAAAGAGTAAGAGGCATTACCACATCATGTCTCTCACATACATATGGAGATGGTAACAACCCATAACTTAAAGTATGACCAATTAACCCCTTAATATTGTGGTCTGATCTGTTATGCCCCGGTATCATCGGATCAAGGAAAATGGTGGTTGAAATAAGTGGAATCATACAAAGAAAAGATGGTCAAAGTCTAATATTGGTTCAGATCGGTTAGGACGATTATTACCTTAGATTATGGTATTTCTTTCTTTACTTGGTCGTGTAGGTGTGGGTGCATTAGTTGATCAGTAGAATTTTTTTCTTCTTTTTCTTGATGTCTAGGTAATTCCAAGTTAAAAGCTTCTTTAACTTCTCACATTATCTAGATTATTGAGTGTCAAGTGAAGGAGAAAAGTAAATGGTTCTCATACTTTCATACAATCAAAAGAGCCAAAAATTCCCCTTATCCTTTGTTAAATACCTACCTTTGATATTCAAATGAGTTGATATAGAAAATGATTTTCATGAGATGAGACTTTATTTTGTTTAAGTATAATGTTGTAAGAAAACGATATTCATAAAAAAAAAAATTACTGAAAAATATGTTGTTCAATTAGGGAGAGCACATTGAAATATATATTTTAAGTTGGAAATTTGAAAACTATGTTCAAATTAGAAAAAAAACAATCTGAAATTTTTTTAAACTTAATTGTTCAACTTCACGATGTAGCATGTTATTGGATTATATGGGAAATTTGAATACTTTTTGATTAAACTCTTAACTATGTAAGATTAAACTACTTTAATTGGATAAAGTGTGTTAATTATGTAGGATTAATCGATACACTTACAATCTAGATTTATAAATTTGTTTTTATTAATAGGTTTATATTTCCTGTTGTTAATAATCATTGTAGGGATGAGCATGAGACGGAACTGTTACCAACCCGAGATTGCCGAATACCAAATTGGGTAGAAATTCGATACCGAGAACTGAATCGTTTCAAAAGTCTTGCGGTACCTGTAACGATATCTGTCATGGTTCCGGTTTTCGATACTAGAACCGAACAAGAGGAGCCAAACGGTCAACTTGGCCGTTTAGGGGCAAATCTGTCCAATGATGCTATTTCGTGCATAAACAGATTAGAGGTACATCATGTTATGTTATTACTTCACGATGGAAAAAACTCAACAGATGTAGTGAAAAGTTGTTTTGTATTTGTATTGAAACAAAAGTAGGATCCTATAATAAACACATCAACGAAAGTATGATGTTATTTCCTGCATAAACACATCATAGGTTTACCCTTTTTTACTTATATGTTCTAGAGAGATCATGATTTGTTATTACCTGTCATTCCCTAATTCCTTGTGTGGCTATAGACGTTTGCATTGAAATTCAAAAAGAATACCTCAAATTGAATGTTTGTGGCTAATGAGTTTATACAACATCCTATTTAGAAGATTGTTAGCATTTAATTACATTGAATGCAACATGGAACTGTTTAAGCTCTTTCATTTGATAGTAAATATTTAAATCAAAGTTTATAATTGTTAAAATGGAAAAAATATGTTAATTGACTTGATTCACATGTGACTTTTTTTTTTACTTACAAACACTCTCTCATAATTACAAAAATCCAAATATAAGATAATGCATTTTATAAGAATGAATAATGAAGAAATGTCAGTGTGTTAATTGAAGGTCGTGTCTAATGAGTTTATTAAAGACGTTTTCGTAAATAATAGTTAAAAATGTTAATGTGTTAATTTCATCTTTTTTTTTTTCTTCATGTAAACAAATTTAAAGATAGACAAATAAACACTGAATTGAAACGAATCGTTGAAACAAATTATACGCCGCCGCCGCTTTGCGCAGGTAACGACTAGTATATATATATATATATATATATATATATATATATATATATATATATATATATGGATTCAACTGGAACAAATTTCAAGTTTTTGGTTTGTCAATAAACATGTGGCAATCGTGTCAATGTGGAGAGCTTCATGCATATTAACAAACATACTTTGCAAAATGAATTCTGAACCCAGCACAATTATGAATTATCAAGTCCATAAAAACATCTATTAAAACTCATGTTATTAAAACAGATACCAGGCTAAACATCTTCAAAATTATCAGTGTAAGGCAACATTTAATCTGTAATGTAAAAGAACATGATTATATGCAGCACATGATAATTACCTCAATGAGCAAAAACAGTGTCATTTCTTCTAGGTGGTCTATCAGGAATGGATCCAGGCTTAAACTTTGAAGCCTCATGCCTAGCAAGTTCAGGAGGAACAGGACTGTTGCTCTGTGTCAGCATCTGCTTCAGATCATAAAAGACATCAGTATCATGAAGAGTCAAGAATGTTGAAGCTATACCCGTCTTCCCTGCACGACCTGTACGCCCTATACGATGTGTATACATTTCAATGTTAGTAGGCATATCATAGTTTATGACATAAGCCACATCAGGTATATCAATCCCACGCCCTGCAACATCAGTGGCAACTAACACATTGAATCTTTTTGTCCTAAAACCCTCAAGACTGATTTCCCTCTGCTCCTGTGACTTCCCACCATGCAAAGTTGTCACACGGTAACCTGACTTTTCCAGTGTCTTTGATACATGGTCAGCCGTCTTTTTAGTGTTAACAAACACAATGGCTGTTTTATCCACAAGTTCATCAAGCAATTTTTGTAGCCTAGGCATTTTCTCTGATTCCTTCACCATGATAACATGTTGTGTAATCAGATCAGTTGCCTTTCCTGCAGTTCCGATTGTAACCACTACTGGGTTCCTTAAGTATTTCCTGGCTAGCCTCTCTACAGCTGGAGGCATGGTGGCACTGAACATATAAGTGGTTCTGTAGATTCTTTTCTCATCAAGTTCTTCATCTTCATTCTCGGGTTTGAAGTTGCTTGATGGCATTGCGTCCAGAACGCCTACAACTTGGGGCTCAAAACCCATGTCGATCATACGATCAGCCTCATCAAGAACAACATAGTTACACTGGTTTAGAACAGCATAACGTCTCTCCAGGCAATCAATTAGACGCCCAGGAGTAGCAATGACAACTTCACACCCTTGTCTAATCTTGAATCCTTGCTCTTCAATTGACTGCCCACCAACAATGGAAACAACTTTGATGCCTAAATAATGGGCGAACTTGACAGTTTCTTCCTCAATTTGCTGTGCAAGTTCTCTTGTAGGTGCCATTACAACAGCATAAGGACCTTCGGCCTCATTTTCTTCACTTATAGGAGGGAGTCTGGTTATGTAAGTCAACATAGGAAGAACAAAAGCAGCTGTTTTACCTGAACCAGTCTCGGCAACCCCAATGACATCTCTTTGCTGGAGACCAAGAGGAATGGCAGCCATTTGAATGGGAGACGGGGTCTTGTAACCAGCCCTCTCAACAGCTTTCAATAGCTCATTGCTCAGTTTACTTTCAACCCAACTCCTCATAGGCCTGGGAATTCTAGAACCTTTGTAAGATATGTTGAAATCTTCCCTAAAGATCCTCCAATCTCTCTCTGTCATTTCCTCTAGTTTCTTCTCAGACCAGTGGCGATCCACTCTCATGTCAAATGTATCGTACATGTCAGCAGCCTCTTCCTTGAGTCTCTGAGCAGCAGCCTCTTCTGGCCTTTCCTCAATCCCATCCTTCTTCCTAATCTCGTCTCTCAACTCTTTTTCATTCTTTTGCTGCTAACTTTTTCTGCTCTCTGCGATCCATACCGGCGCGGAAACCTCTTCCAAATAGAAGACGAGCCTCGTGAGGGTTTTGATAGAGAACGTTCATATCACGAGAAGTGTCCTCGGTGTTCTCCCAATCGAAGGAGAAACGGAACTTCTCGCTGGGTTTAATAACCCTTTTCTTAGGCTTCTTTGATCCCAAGTACTGCTCCTTGATGGCATCGAGCTCCTTTTCGCGCTCTCGCTCCGCAAGCTTCTCCAATCGAGCTTTTTCCCTAGCTTTGTGCTCTTCATCACGTTCTCTATCCCGGTTCCGCCGCTCAGAGTCCCGTTCCCTTTCTCTTTCCCTTTCCCTCTCCCTCTCCCGTTCTCTATCCCTATCTCTATCTCTGTCTCTGTCCCGGCGATCACGGTCACGGTCACGGTCACGGTCACGGTCGTAATCACGAGAAGAACGGTGGTTACGGGAAGCGTCATCAGACGACGGAGGGGGTTTAGAGGTGGAAGAATTAGGGTTGCTCTGGAGGAGAAGCTGTTCGGATCGGCGCTTCTGTTCTTCAAATTCATCTTGGCGGCGCTTGAGGGCTAATTGTTCTCGCTCTGCTTTAGTGAGAAATACGGGTTTTCTTTGCCTGCAGTTTCTCACCAATGTCATCGGTAGAACGCTTCATGATTTAATCAAAGCTTCGAATGATTATATTCAAGGTTTATTGCTTCGCTTGGATGATTGCAGGGCAGGAGTTAGAGAAGGGAATCGATGCGAATGAAAAACTAGGGTTTGGGCGTCGTAATCCGAATTGGGGATTTGATCGAATGATATGTAGGTTACTATTACGTGATAAGTACGGGTCGAATCAATAAGTATAGGGCAAATTTAAGACCGTAAAATTGTCATGCTATATTAATAGTAATACTATAACTAGAAGTGAGATTATGTTAAAATGTCATACTATATTAAAAGACAGAGAGACCACGAAGTAGAGAAGAAGAAGAAAATGGTTATTGGTTGATTTATCCGGTTGAGTCATGATGTCATTACCACATCTTATACTGTATCTTTTGGAGGTGATGTACATAGTATTATCAATTATGACATAAGTTTAGACTGCGAACTCAACCATAATAACGCTGTGATGACCATAACATATGGTTTAATGGATCTTATTTTTAGAAATTACAAAAAAGTTAGGGATGTTTGGGATTGCTTTTTCAACATTGAAAACTATTGTGTGTAAAATTTTTTGTTGATTTATGGTGATAGTAAAATAAATTTTTAAAAAAATATTCAATAAATTTTTAAGACAGTAAAAATTAATAACAATAAGTTAAAAAATATTTAATTTAAAATGGTTGTAATTTTTTTATTATTATTAGCGAGAATGGTTTTAAATATGGTTAGGTTTTACATGGCTGTTTATAATTTTTTTTTTAAAGCTAATGAAAAAATTATTCTAAAAATGTTTTTGAGTTTGCCAAATATTTTTTTGAGATATTTTTTTTTTAAAAGCCAATAAATCAATAAATTATTTTGAAGAACAATTCCAAACACTCCTTTACTTTAACTTATTGGTTTTTTAAAGTTAATAAATCAATAAGTCGTTTCGAGAAACAATTCCAAACACTCCTTCAACATAAACGTCGTTAATTAGTAGGAGTCTAGTTTTTAATTTGGAGTCCTCATTTTTATTTCATTTCTTTTAGGGTTTATCTTTCAAGTTAGCTTAATAACTTGCGTAGGAATGTAATGTTTTTGGTATCCTAGTCGGATTATATTTTCTCTTCTTTAAATAAGGCATCCTTTTGTTTATGGTGTTTTCTCAAGCATTAGTGTTTTTCCCTCTAATAACATTGTTATCCCCTTAGTTTAAAGGGTTTATCGTAATTCATAATTGTCTATCATATAGTTGTTTGCTACATCAAAGCTTCCTTAAATTCGATTATTTTTCTTAAAAGCTATAAAAAGGACTATGAGAAAGCATGAAATAAAAGAAACTAAGGTATGATGCTATGATTTGGTTATTTTTTTTAAATATTGTGACTTAATATAAAAAAATGAAATTACAATGCTTCAATAGAAATAAATGGGAGTATAATGCCATTATAACATCTTTTATCATTTCTTTCTGTCGAAGCAACGATCTTCCGGTTTTTCTTTCTCAAAGACAATAAAAAAATATGAGAGTATGAAAAAAAGGAAATTAAAGTAGGATGAACGATTTAGTTAAAATTTCAAAGTATAATGTCATAATAAGAAAAAAAAAGTAAAACAACAGGGCATTAATATAAATAAATGGAAGTTGATTGCTTTATATGATTATATCATCTATTGCGATATTTATCCATTAGAGCAACGTAAGTACTCTCGTTTTTTCTTAAAACCAATTTAACAAACAATTTCAAGCATATCTTTTATTTTCGTTTTTATAAAGTTTTTTACCTCTTTTTATAGCGAACTCACCAACTTTAGTTTTCATTTACATATGATGGAAAAGTCCCACCTTGAAATGGCAACTATCAAACCTCTTGCAAATTAAAAAAAATGTAAACCATTACATTATTTCATTATGAAAACAACAACATAATATTCATAAATAGTTAAGTAAAGTTGGGTGTAGTTGATTCCCTTGAAAACCATTAAATTTTAGTCGATTTCCCTTGAAAATTCTCTCATGGAAAGTAGTAAAAGTTAGGCTAAAATGCAAGAAAGTATGTTGTCATTTATGGAATTAATCCATCGAGATCAACAAATTCCATTTTGTCGTGATGTGAAGTGATAGTTTTTTTCAACCAAATACCTTTTTTATAGTGGGCTAATTACACATTAATAAATAACCAAGTAAAATAAGTTCCCTTCAGCTAATAGTTTTCTTTCGGTAAATAATTTTTCTTTCAAAAATAAGTCTTTCAAATCAAAGTATCAAAGTGGAAGATGCAGGAAATCAAATCCTCTTCCCTTAGACATTGAGTGGATTTCGGCCTTCAATTTTTGATTTTCCATCTTTAAAGAAACACGTAAGGCCTGTTTTGGAGTTTAACTGTAAAGTCTTACAATTATTATTCATAAAACATCGAAAAGTATACTAATTTGATCAGAATTGGAGTTGTATACCATGTGTTTTAGGTGAAGTAAAAGTAATCAATGTTATTATTATTAGATAGATATGATGTTCAATATACAGCACAATATGCATAGAGTACAAGTATTGGTGTGTTGATGTGGAGTGGCGATGATGTTACAACATTTTTAGTGTGGTGCTGTCGGGTACAAATAATGCATCTAACACAAACCATTTTGAGGGCCATCAATTTATTATAGGACCTAATGTTAAATCAATGACTTGTTTTCTGGTCAAAAGTTTATGGATTTAACACCAAATCCTTTTAATATCTAGTACTAGTGGTAATAGTAATCGACATAATAAACGCACTCTAATAAGGCTTCACAATTATTCCTACATAATAATGCCTGTCTAGATACAAGTTGTTGTCCGCCTTCAACTTTAGCAAGACCGAAATCAGAAAGCTTTGCATTGTATTATTCCTGGTAAATTAAATCATACATACAAGAGACCAAAAGCCTACAATGCATTATAATTGTAGCACCAAACTTCAATTTCTTCCTTTATAACATTATTCTTTGAAAATTTTATCTAAATACAAAACAGTTTTTCATAGCTATAACCGGATAGATTTTTCAAAGTAAAAAGGTTAGAATAAAAAGATTTAGAAACTACAGTCCTATAATTACATAGACTTTTTAAAGTATAATTCACTGCATTTAGGGGTGCAAAACAAGGATAGAAAGTTACTCAACATTTTATTCTTAGTTAAATAAAGATAGGAATAACTTTTTGAAACTAATTCAAATTGTTTTTAATAACACATAGTCTTGAATGTGTAAACATTGTCCAGCAAAGTTGGTAAAAATATGAGAATCTCGTTTCCTAGCATTATTAAGTATATAGGTAAATGACTATAAACAAACTTCCTTCATATTTGTTTAATTTCCTCCTGTAATAGCATTGTACATTTACCCAATTATAGCAAAATCATACAAATACCAAAAAAAAATCTGGTTATTGTACCTTGGAGAGGCTAGACTCTCGAATTACTAGCAAAGTATTAGGGTTTTATTGTGTTCTCTTGGTATTTTGAGTGAATCATTGATAAGCCCCAACTTTTACTGGTTTATAGCCTAAGGGTATAAGGGTAGAATTGTCCTTTTAATTAAGTATCCATAGGTTGTTATCTGTGAGTGGGACAGGAATTGTGGGGGGCAACATTTTGTTGTCTGTTGTGTCCTTGGGTCCTTCTGTCTCAGTCTAGGTATTTAGTAGTAGAAGGTAGCTAAGAATTATGTTATAGAACTTTGTTCTTCATGGAATTATCTTAATATTATCAGGTATTTTTAGTGTGAGTGTTAGAATGTTTGAGTTATCTGATAAATTCAACAAGGGTCTATCAATCATTGAATATAGTGAAGCTTTTGTATATCTGTTCTTGTTTTGTTGATTTCATTCTATAAGTGAATTCATACCAATTGGTATCTCTCAAAAGTCAAAATCAACGTCAAGATGGGTGAGAACCTCCTTGATTGCTTGTGTTGTTTGTTGATGCCATTGGAGAACAACGAAAGATAGCTTGTTGAAGGCTGAAGAGGTTGAATCGATGCTTATCATATCTTGAATCACAAGAAAGTGTTTTATGGGTCAACTATCAGTTCTCTTAATTTTGCAATGATGGTTTATCCACCTACTTGTGAATGGTAATGGGGCTTAACTTTAAGTCTATTTTCCCTGTTGCTCATGGGTAACATAAGATCCCAACAACCAAAAACAAGAAAAAGAGATCCAAACAAGAATCAGAGGAACGACTTATACCATTGGTTGCATCACTTTTTGCTGGAGTTTTGAAGAGTTCAAGAAGGGAAATTTTACTAAGTAAATCTGTGGAAAAAAGAGTATGAAAAAGAAAAAGGTAGAAACGGAGTGAAAAGAAAAATCTCTAAGGCTGAACAAATGTTTCTGTAGCTTGTAGCCTTCATTTGATTCTGTCTAAGAATCTAACCTTGGACCTCTAGCTTCTCTTATCGTTATGTTCATCTCATTGAACAAAAGATTTCAATGGATGCAGAAACCAACAACCTTGGGAGATTGGGATGTGAGAAGAAAAGGGTTACTTGTAACTTTTCTTCAATCTCAGATATTTTATATTAATATTATACAGATAGAGTAGAGAGGGAAGAATAGAAGGAGTCAGAGAAAGGGTTCTGGGTATTACCCAATCAACTCATTTCTTTATGCTCTTCCCAGCTTTATCCTACACCAAAATAAATTTGTTAGAAAATTGATTATCTAACTATATACCAAAAGAACCATAAATAAAAAGATTTGATGAAAGAAAGGTAAGTAGGTAGGGAGAACGTTGATTCTTCTTCTCCTTCATAGCTTCAAGTTTTTGCTGCTCTTCCCATTATATCCTAAAAAAAATAGATTTGGTACAAGCTTAACTACATATCTTTTTATATTGATTGAAGAGAGGTTGCAATTTCATAATATGCATGGTACTATTCCTTTTTTTTTTTTTATCATTATATCCTTGTATAGTTTGCTAAAACAATGAATTGTTGCAGTATGATGCAATAAATTTTAGCCACAACTGTATTTTTATATTATTGGTGTATGACAATCCGAATTGCCCCCACCACAAAATAAGTTTGGAATTGCCATTGTTGGCATGTGTGGTGTGCTTATAGGTTTACATAAGGACATTATTGCATGTATAAGTTTTACTTTATAATATAGGAAAGCGATGTTCAATATTTAGGGGTACATCACATGAGTTTAGTATTTATACAACAGCCTCAACTTTTGGCAATGTCTATTATACTAAGATGACTCTATGTATTATGTAATGTCACTAAGGAACTTACTTCATGGAGCACTACCTTAGTACCCCAACTATTTGACTATTTGAGATGTGTAATGTTCAAGTGTAGAACCATTTATGCAAAACTGCAAATGCAATACTTACGTAATTAACGCAAGTGATGCCTTATTGCATCAATCGATGAATTTCAAGTAGAAAAAAATGTATAATATGGATTCAATGTAATGTATTCAACTGGAAATAGTTTCAAGTTTTTGCTTTGTTAATAAACATGTGACAATCGTGTCAATGTGGAGCTTTCATGCATATTAACATACTTTGCAAAACGAAATTCTACACCCAACACAATTAGCAAGTCCATAAAACATCTATTAAAATTTAAATAAACAAAATGATAAAGAACAGATACCAGCCTAAACATCTTCAAAATCAGTGTAGAGGACTAAAGGCAACATCAGTGAACCCAAAATTTAATTTCTAATGTAACAAAACATCTTTAAGCACATGACACTTACCTCAATCTCAATGAAGAAAAACTGTGTCATTTCATCTAGGTGGTCTATCAGGAATGGATCCAGGCTTGAACTTTGAAGCCTCATGCCTGGCAAGTTCAGGAGGCACATGACTGTTGCTCTGTGTCAGCATCTGCTTCAAATCATAAAACACATCAGTATCATGAAGAGTCAAGAATGTTGAAGCTATACCCGTCTTCCCTGCACGACCTGTACGCCCTATTCGATGAGTATACATGTCAATTTTACCAGGCATGTCATAGTTTATGACATGAGCCACATCAGGAATATCAATCCCACGCCCTGCAACATCTGTAGCAACTAATACATTGAATCTTTTTGTCCTAAAACCTTCAAGACTCGTTTCCCTCTGTTCTTGTGACTTGCCACCACGCAAGATTGTCACACGGTAACCTGACTTTTCCAGTTTCTTGGATACATGGTCAGCGGTTATTTTAGTGTTAACAAACACAATGACTTTCTTATCCACAACTTCATCAAGCAATTCTTGCAGCCTATGCATTTTCTCTGATTCCTTTACTATGATAACATGCTGTGTAATGAGATCGTTTGCCTTTCCTGCAGTTCCAGCTGTAACCACAACAGGGTTTCTCAAGTATTTCCTGGCTAGTCTCTCCACAGCTGGAGGCATGGTGGCACTGAACATATAAGTGGTTCTGTAGATTCTTTTCTCATCAAGTTCTTCATCTTCATTCTCGGGTTTGAAGTTGCTTGATGGCATTGCATCCAGAACCTCTACAACTTCGGGCTCCATACCCAGGTCAATCATACGGTCAGCCTCATCAAGAACAATATAGTTACACTGGTTTAGAACAGCATATTGGTTCTTCAGGCAATCTTTAAGTCGCCCAGGTGTAGCAATGAAAACTTCACACCCTTGGCTAATCTCAAATGCTTGTTCTGTAACTGGGCGTCCACCAACAATGGAAACAACTTTGATGCCAAGATAATGGGCGAACTTGTTAGTCTCATCCTCGATTTGCTGTGCAAGTTCTCTGGTAGGTGCCATGACAAGTGCATATGGTCCCTCAGCCTTGTTTTCTTCACTTATAGGAGGGAGTCTGGTGATGTAAGTCAACATTGGAAGAACAAAGGCAGCTGTTTTACCTGAACCAGTCTCGGCAACCCCAATGACATCTCTTTGCTGGAGACCAAGAGGAATGGCAGCCATTTGAATGGGAGATGGGGTTTTGTAACCAGCCCTCTCAACAGCTTTCAATAGCTCATTGCTCAGTTTACTTTCAACCCAACTCCTCATAGGCCTGGGAATTCTGGAACCTTTGTAAGATATGTTGAAATCTTCCCTAAAGATCCTCCAATCTCTCTCAGTCATTTCCTCTAGTTTCTTCTCAGACCAGTGGCGATCCACTCTCATGTCAAATGTATCGTATATGTCAGCAGCCTCTTCCTTTGAGTCTCTGAGCAGCAGCCTCTTCTGGCCTTTCCTCAATCCCATCCTTCTTCCTAATCTTGTCTCTCAACTCTTTCTCGTTCTTTGCGGCTAATTTTTTCTGCTCCCTGCGATCCATGCCAGCGCGGAAACCTCTTCCAAACAGAAGACGAGCCTCGTGAGAGTTTTGATA